ACGATCACCATTACGATCACGATCACGAAAGACCAAACACCCCATGACGATGATAGACATGGTTACACAGGTGTCTGGGGTCAAGAGCTCCGACGGCCTAGCCGAGGCTTGAGTATGTTCCTCAGTCAGTGGATAGTAATACCTTTCTTCTGTATCGGCTCTATAGGTTCAAGTGCTGTATATCGCCAGGAATAACCTTAAACCCCTAATAGCCCTATAGAAAGCCTAAGCCCCACTTTCAGTCCCGAATCCCACTCCCCGCCTTGCATGCAATGTAGCCTTCGGAACAGTTACCAATAGCATTCCTGGTGTTTATACATCATAATCTGCGTATAATAGGCACCCAACCCTATTCCAATCATGACGACCGCTATATTCGACAGGAATCATCGGAGTGGCATCCAGTGGCCCACGCAGCCATCCACCTGACTCCACACATCCCCTGGATTGATGCAGACCGACGCCGCTTGGCGCTGCTGTTCAAGAGCTTCGGGTTCAGGGTTTGAGGCTTGAGGGTGTTGAAGTTGGGACCCTAAACACTACCTGGACCCAGAACAACCTACCTCTTGAAGGACTTATATAATATATGAATCATATGAAGGAACCCTGAGGTTCTTTGGGGTCCAGGTAAACCCAAACTCCTAGGGCTCCAAAAACAACTCTTAGGGCGATTTGGGGGTTAGGGTTTGGGCCTATGTAGTTGACATGACTTCCTTAACCCTGCAGGCAAAGAGCTTTCGGTATGTATTGTTCACTTTTTTTCCGGTTTCAGTGGCTTTCCGCAGGGCACCGTTTCTTCAAGGGATGCCCTCAAGCAAGAAAGGCCGGTGACAGAGATTCTGAAACCCCCAAGTTGTGCAAGGCTTGAGGCCCTAAACCCAAAATCCACACCCTCTAAACTCTAGAACTTCAATTAAAACCTAGACTCTCACAATGCTTAGTCTCTACAGGCCTAGCCCGTGTTTAACAGCTACAGCAAGAGTAGCAACGACGACGGCTCCATCATCATGATCATCATCATCATCATCATCATCGACGTCATCCCCAACCTCAGCGTCGACACCGACAACAAGCTCAACAACCTAAAGTCGCACAACATCCACGGCTACCACAGTAACCACCGCAGTCACAACCAAAACCACTGCAACAACAACGACGACAACAACAAAAACAAAAGCAGCAACAGCAAGAGCTACAGTAGCACCGGCAGCAACACCAGCACCAGCACCACCACCACCACCGCCACCGCCGCTGCCGCCACCACCACCACCGCCACCACCACCACCAGCAAAAGCAACAGATGCAGCTATGGCCAAAGCTACAGCTACAACAACAGTAAAAGCAAGACCAACACCAACAACAGCGGTAGCAGCAGCGGCAGCAGCAGTAGCGATTGCATTATCATGAGTACATCATGTTCGTAGTGGTACCCAGCAGCGAGAACAGTATTGAGCGATACCGGTGATATGAATGCCGGGATCCTAGCATTACTACGTACCGTCCATCCTAAACAAACTTAACAATCTTTTGCGCCGTCATCATCATGGCTCGAAGATGCAGATTCGGCACATTTAGTTGCGGTGCCCTTCCTGTGTGTTTCCTTTCATGGGATGGTGACGGAAAACGTGGTTGTGCTGACGCTGCTCGGGTACGACGCCCTCTTCTTTCTGAATCTTTTCGATTACCACGTGCTGAATGGCGATGCCCCAGGCCACGATGTCCTTTACCGCCCGGCGTGCCTTGGTTTGCCCGGATCCTCTGCATTGACGGACTTGTTGCAAGTGATCAACTGAGTCTACATGTTGAGCAGTTGCAACGAAGGTATTTCTTCGACAAGTACCGCATCCCCCTCTCCAAGGAAAGGTTTCTACTCTTCTTTCACATCCTGACTGCCGCGGCCCCACTGATACTGTCGGCCACACAATGCTGGAAGCTGGTAAGGTGCGAGTCCCGGACAAGCCTATTCACACATCCTCGCGCGCGCACACACACACACACCCACCCACACACACACACACACACACACACCCTCACACACGCGCACACACACACAGAGACACACAGACAGACACACACACACACACACACCTACCTCTCCGTCTTGTGGTATCCAAGTCTTCCGGGCAATGGGCTTTCCCGAGTTTGTGGCTGAGTTTTTTGTTTTGTTTGAGGGTCCCTGTCAGGAGACAGAGTTTGGCAGTACACCGCTGGACCGGCCGCATCTGCATCCTGCTTAGCCAGCAAGGGGTCCCAAGTGTTTAGGAGCTTTCTTTTGCTTCTACTATATGATATGGCTTGTGTAACACAAAATCCTATATACAGTATGATAGCACGTCTGATACGAGATAACGAGATATAGTTCAAACGTACACATTACGAAGCCTACAGCCGTCCAGAGAGGTATTGCATCAACGCTCTTGACCATCTACCCTTCTTACAAGCTAGCCTGGCAAATTGACACGGTGAGCGTCTACTTTCAATCTGTCGTCGCTGCGCTCTCCGGTCTGTGGCTGCTCCCTGGCACCAGCGTTGGCAGATACGCCTGACTTTCCTCTTGCGTCGGTGCATATATATATATATATACATACAGAGAGAGAGAGATAGATATATAGAGCCATATATGCGCGTGAATAGTGAATGTGCGCAATCATTATCCATCTAAGTGGCGCATCGTGAACCTTCCCGCCGGGTCTTAAGTACCTACATGGTAGTTGATCTAAAGCCCCT